TTTAAAAAAAGGATTTGTAAGAAACAAATCAAAACTACAAAAATTCACTTAGTACCAAGCCTTAAGTAACAAATTCTTGCATTTAATAAGGTTAGTGACTTAAGCATTTTCACTGTGCTGTAATCCTACACTTGAGTATCCAAACCAGAAAAAAAAAATCAAAAATTAAAAAATCATATCCACTGAACAAAAAGTATGAAATAAAACTTCAAAATTGAAAACTAAAAAACAAACAAACAAACAAAAAAAAAACAAACCCAAAAACAAACAAAAAAACTAGATGATCCTTGTAGATAAATCACTCATTCCTGGTATGGTCATATCAAGTACTTGGGCTGTTGCTTTAATTTCAAGCTTTTGTCAGGTCTTCTCTCCTTGGGCTTTCAACATTCTCAATCTTGGGGCCCATCTCTTGGTTCTAAATTTTCTGTCCATCAGTTCTTCTATTGTTTTTTTTTCCTTGGAAACAACTTACCCATTGGGCTCATTCTGCCACTGTTCTGCTGCCTCTGAAGATGCTCTTTGTAGCAAACAGAACACATTCCATTTGTCCTAGGATTTCCATAAAAGCCACATCCTGTACTACACAGCATAGGCCCTGGGGTCTGGTTAGTCTCCTGAGCCATATTTTTCTGCTACAAAGAAAACAAAACAAAATTTTAGAAATAAGTTTTGTCAGCAACATAAAATTACTGTGATATAATCACATTACCTGTGTTATTTCTAAATACCAAGTCTGTTTCTAACAAAAGCTCAAATTGTGTTAATCATAAAGAGTGGCCAGAGATAATTATGAATATTTTGTTGCAGAGTATGAAGTTTTTGGAACCCAGAAAAAGAAATTCTATCATTAAATATTAAAAATACTTATCTTACTTGTTATTCTTGGTTTCAATTTCTGAAAAGATCAGTCCTGGGTATTGGGATTAAATCTTTATCAATTTGGGAAACTGGCAACTTTAGGTTACTTTCTGCATTACAGGCAGACTGTTTCAAATGATGTTTTTAACTTCACTGGCTAAAAATATTAAATGGTACTGTTTCAAAAGATTTTAACTTCACTGGCTAAAAATATTAAATGGAATTTGCAAATAAAAAGAGGTACAATAATCACAATTACTGACTCTTGATATTTATGAATAGATCTTTAAGCTGGCTGAATATTGGATGCAGTCCTAAAGCTTTCTTAAAACTAATACCTGAACATACTTGAATAGGTCCCACCAATCATTTAGTCTGCTATAAGGCAAGGCATGTGTACTTTTTAAATGAAGAAACTTCTTAATCAAGGAATGAAAACATTATTCTGCTGCTTTGGCATGAGTAAGTGAAGTTATTTAATTCAGAGGTCAATTGCCTAAGAAACTTTTTAAGTTCAACATCTGAGGTGCGAAAATCTGTTTCAGAGTACTTTACAACCAGTGCCTAGAAATGTTCAATATAAAAATTATCAACCACAGATCTCAGCTAAAGGCAATATTTATTCTAACAAGTGTTTGCCTTATTCGTATCAGAAAAATAATAAAACTCTTCCAAGCTCAAATTCAATGTAGTAAAGCAATATACATACATAATCTTTAGTAATGGTTAATATTTAATGCTAGGTTACCAGGAAGAACTTTATATAGCAAGCATACTCTCCCTTTTCCAGAAGTCTTGCTAAAATTAGCACAAATACGATAATGTACTAAATTTGATCATTTTCCTTGGGGAAAAATACTCATCATTTAAAAAAATTACTTATTGAAGCAAATTGTGAAAGGTTTTCACGCCATCTTAAAAAAAGTACAAATGTACAAAATGTCTATCAGAGAGCATCTGCTTAAAAGAAAATGTTATAAAACTTGTGCTTTGTTATTTTTTCCTACCTACCATATATTGAAGTATGCTCTTTAGGAAGTTACTAAAAATGTTTTAACAAGTATTATCTTTACCATAATTATGAATGGCAAAAAGGGTGTTAACCAATTTTGACTTGGCCAGAATCCTGACAATTATTCCCCCCCAAACATTAAAATTTGACAGTAATCTTTTGTTAACCAAAAGACACCAGACAAACATTTCAACCTCATTAAGCTTGTCTGTAGAGAGTGACCAAGATCTACAAATGACTTCAAACAATAGTACTAATTTAATTGACACTGTGTCTTTAAATAGTAAGTGGAATTTAGCTGACTCATTTTGGAGCACGGTAGTGTAAACATTTCAACATCCCTTCTGAGGTTTATTAATAAACTTTCAGCTGTGTTTTTATATTCAGTATTATAAGGGCAAAAATAATTAAAAAAATACATAATTTATTTACATGCCCACCAATGCAGAGTGTGTAAATTTTTGCTCTATGCAAAAAGTTGGGCTATTCCTTGAAGCCAGGTTAAGAATTATGCTAGCTCACACTTTCTACACTTCCTGTGTCATCTGACTAGCTTTATAAGCAAACTGACCTACATTTAAGATCTACTGATCAATGCACATTTAGTTAATCCGATTCCCCAATCCTTTTATATAAATAAAATGGAGGAAACCCATCTAATGATTTCACCCACTTTGACATAAAAAGTATTCCTCCTTTCCTTCCTCAAGAGAACACACTTGCTTCAATTAATTATAAATAACTTTTCAACTGAGACACACAAGAGGCACCAGGACATTAGGCTTCTCATCTTTTAGACTCCCCCCCCCCCCCAGAAAGCCAGCTTTTAAATGCCATCACATGTGCACAGCTTGCCTTAATATTTCTCAGAAGCTTAGATCACATGGGAGGGTGCTACAGCCTGTCACAAGGCTGCAATGTGACAGGCTGAGCTGGATGGAGGCTCTCACAGAAAGCCTAGTCAACAGGGGCCTCTGAAATCAGCTTCTATTTATATCCCAGAGCCTGCCAACTCCTACACAACCCGAAGAACTAAGGATGCAGCTTCCAAATATCTAACATAGTAAGAAAACCAAACAAAACGCAATTAAGGCTGCTAGTTTTCCCCCCTAATGTAGGGAGGACTAGAGAACAATCTCAAATTCAATCTAGAAGACTTAAGCGTCATTAATCAGTCATGAAGCCAAAAATGGTCAGGGTTGTTTATAAAAAAACAAAGCTAGTGGAGACAGAAAAAAGAATCCACAGTCAGTGGCAATTACTTTGGGGGTAAAGTATGTGAGTTTGCTATTATGTGCTGCATCATTTCCCTCTTTCTTAGCAAGAATACTAGGTAAAAGCAGTATCATTACTATCTATTATCTTTAAAGTTGTTAGAAACTCCTGCAATGTGCATGTCACTCCTAGCAGGTATAGATGGAATATGTAGCTGGAATATGTACTTTTATAAAGTTGGGTGGCTTCTTCAAAAATGTATAGGTTTAAAAAAAATCTGGGTGTGAACTAAATCCTCTAAACCAAAAACTGCAAAGGACTTTACACCTATGTGCTGTAGTTCTTTCAGGTATATGAGATGTTGGCAAATGGCAAGAACTCCCACTCTGAGAGTTGAGACCTGAGTTCTACTCTCTAATCTGCCACTAACTAAGCCAGTGACCTTGGGTAAGTCCTTACTCTTCTAATTTCAGTTCCCTCTGGCAAATGGAGACTGACTTTTAAAGGCTCCTTTCCAGGCTTAATATTGGGCCTGAGAAACAGAAAATGAGAGAAAAAGCTACAATAAATAACTCTTTATTGGGAGCGGAGGAAGTGCATTTTAAGAAAAATTCTGAAAGATAAAATTGCAGTTTTTAAAACCAAGTGAATTCTGAAATCTTAATGTTTTTTTTAAAAAAAACTTATAAAAAGAGTAGAAAATTGTAATTTTGGAAACTGTAAATTACCTGAATCCCAGGTATAAAATAACAAGGGTTCTGTGACCTATATACTATCTTAATATCTCCTTAGGCGACATCCTTTAAGGCAGTTCAATCAATAAAAACAATCCGACTCTCCCCTCCAAACACAGCTCCTCAGACTGCGTGAAAACCGAGCAAAAAAAAAATTCACGTTCACCATCAAAATGCATGAAACAAAGGAGGTGCTTCACTTCCTCCTTGAAAGAGATCTTGGGGGGGAAAAAACGCAGCGACGTCGGGTAAACGAAGACATCACGACAGAGAATCTCCAGTCCCGTGCTCCAGCGGATTTTAGAGCAAGTTCGGATCCCACCGGTCTCCCATCCCCCGCCTATCAAGCAAAGGCCTCACTCAGGAAAGCCTAACAGGGCCTTCTCCAAAAACCACTGAGTCATGCCGAACAGCAGCTCTGCAGGCCCGGCCGCCCCTCTCCCCGCCACCCGGCGCCGACCCCCAAACCCTGAACGGTTTGTCTTAGGAGGGGGAGAGCGGGGGGTGCGGCGGGCAGG